GCCTTAGCTTGGCGTACAAGCCTGTCTTAGTCTCCAGCAGCTCAAACCTGTTCCAAACCTCCGGTGCTGAATGGAGAACAAGTGCAAAGTCATTGTTTCAGACTGAAAACTGGGCATCTGAAATATGAAACAATTCCAGCTTGAATTGCTTTGCATGCCGTTGCTATCTCTGAAGTGCTTAGGTGTGTGTTTCTCTTCCTTCAAACAAGCCTTTAAATTGGGACTATGGCACCCACAATTTAGCCAGTCTCAACACACCTGGAGGGCTACAGGAAGGAGAAGGCTGGTATAAATTCCTTTCTTGATTTATTTCCTTTTTCCAAAGAACATGAAAGAGGTTTTTTTCAAAAAGAGAAGGGGAAGAATCTGTTCTTCCTTCTTGGGGTAGAGGAGGAGTGTTCCTGAGCATTAACTTACGTGCAGGAAAACATCTGAAGGTTCGTGTATAATCATGACAACCGAACCGATACGGATGTAATTCGCGCAGTATGAGAAGCTCATCAGGAGGAGGGCGGCCCCATGGTGGACAATTTCCTTACAAAAGTCCTGCAGCAAGAGGAAAGATTGAAATGATGGATTTTGTAGCTGCTCATGGGGGCCAGACCCCCCATTATGGGGAAGGGGTTTAGAGTGGAATGTTTTGCATTTGCAGATACACCCAACTAGTGCCCTCGTTTTTCACTTTTTCTCTTCATTTGATTGATTCTGCAGTTTTAAAATTAGCCACCCAGAGTCTCCTTAGTGAGATGGGCAGCCACTTAAATCGACAGAAAGGCACAAATGCTGGTTGTAGGCCAAAATGAGGAACCATGTTCCCTCGTGGATCCGAACGGGGCTTCCTGACCAGCCGGACTGATCTCTTCCGCCAGAGACCACTCACCGTCCGTTTGACCTTAAAAGGCAGCATGACGACCAAGGAGCAGTAGAAGGAGAACTGCGTGAGGTAGTAGCCACAGATGCTGGGCTGGAGAGGCTGCAACGCACAAGGGGACGGGTGGAAGGAAGAGAAACGGCGTCATGCAATCCCAGCTCTCAGCTTCCCAAGCTAAGATAAAGCAGGGCTGGCTAGGGAATTCTTTGGAGTTGGAGTCCACACATCTTAAAGGTCCCAGGTGTGAGAAACAGGGTCCTCGAGAGGCCCTACAAGCAGG